AAAAAAAAAAAAAAAAGAAAGAAAGATAATCACATTGCTCAAACTTCCTAGAGGCATACAGAACAAGCACTTGAGACGAGACAATTTTAGGACAAGGAACAAAGATACCAGAACAAACTAAGTATTCAGATAAAAGACAAATACCACCCCTCATTGTTCCAGAAGAAACCCTAGAGCAGGTGATATTTTGCACATTACCCAGGCTATTTTTGTTCACTACTGAGGTGTTCAAAAGCCACCAGTTCAACAGCACTTCTTTGTCAGGCACTGTGCTAAGAGCTTTGCTGTATTATCCAGCAATCCTCATGGCCTGGCTGTGAGGCAGGTATCAGTTACAGACAAGGAAACTGAGCTTAGAGGGGCTAAGTGATGTGGCCAAGGTCTGAAACAGGAAAGTGATTGGAACGCAGGCTGCTGGGTTCCTCATACTGTTCTCCCTCTGATTAATAATCAAGATGGCAGTGGAATAACTTTGGTTGACCATAATTCATTCAATATTTCAAAACAGCTAGTAAGGAGGATTTTGAATGTTCCCAACACACAAGAAAGCTAAATGTCTGAAGTGATGGATATGCTAGTTACCCTGAGCTGACAATAACACATTGTATATGAGGTATGATAGAAAAATACAATGAATGTTTAAATTTTAAAAATCATTATAATAAAAGACACATCATTATAAACTCCCTCAAAATACTCCCCCCCTCATTTCAAACATACTTATCTTATCCTTCTTGCCACTTTTTCTCTCTTTAAAAACATTTAAAAAATTATTTTTTTTTTTTTTTTTTTTTTGATACACGGTCTCACAATGTAGCCCAGGCTGGCTTTGAACTTGTGGCAAGCCAGGCTCTCTGGCCACTTTCTGAAGCAGTTCTAGAAATCCTCTGTGAATGTCTTTAGCTGTGCTGTTAAGGCTGCCTTTGATAATTAATGACTGGTCCCAAAGAAATTCTTTCCAGGTTCTTGGTATCCTGAACAAAGGATTGAACAAGACACACTGAAAAAGTATTGAGGATTTATTTACTGAAAGTGAAAAAGAAATATGCTCTGCAGAATGAGAGCAGGCTCCTGAGGAGGTTCACAGAGGCCATGAGATTAATGATGGGAATCTTTTGTATTTCCTGTTCCTAGATTTCTTTTTCCTGAGGCAAACAAGGCATTTGGGATGGTTGTCCCATCAACAACTCACTTGGCCTGACATCGATCTAAACTATCTTATCAAAGGTCTCACCAGATGTAAATGAAGAATTAAAGACAGCACTTTCTGGTTGGTCCAGCAAGTCCCACCTACAGGGTTCAGGAACTTGTACAGTCATCCTGGATTCTGTGTTCTGTGCCTGTGTCCTGAGTCTCCTCGATTGATGCACCACACCCACCTCCTGCCTCACCTTGATATTTTGAATCAGTTTGAAACATTTATCTGTCATGGACATTTTGACTCTGGGGACAAGCCAGAAGTCTCAGTGTCCAATCTGGTGAATAAGATGGATTAGGGTACACTGTAATGTCTTTCCGAGCTTGCCTTTCTGCTGAATGGGACTCAGCAGCTGCATTCAGTTTTTGATCAAACCTCATAAAGGGGAGTATTGTGAGAGGCATTAATGGTTATGTGTCTTTTACTTTAATAAATTTTCTTAACAATTTAAACATTCACTATATATTTTGATCACCCCTTGTACATTGAAATGCCACACTGTACCCTGTAACTATGTACAATTACTATCTGTCAAGAAGAAGAACAGAAAGGGAAGGGAAGGAAGAAAACAGATGACTGGAGGTCAGAGAGAGAGGAGGGGAGTCTTGGAGGTGTGGAGGGCATTTGAAGTTCTCTTCATGGTGGGGCATGTAGACCCTTCTCTAATCCCCAGGTGACTGCCAGGACCCCTGAGATTGGCTTTAGAGGCAAAGGTTCTAAGAGAAATGCTTGTTTCAGGAGGGCAGAGGAAGTAGGGGCATGTGTATGTTTATGGCATAGAGTTAAGAAGGGACTTTGAGCTTCAGGGTGGGCTTGGGGTGACTGCAGATGCAAGAAGAGGTGTTCTGTTAGGGTGCAGATTCTATGGCCATCCATAGAGCTTGGACAGAACAAAAAAAGATCTGATAGAAGGACAGCTTTGACTTGATGTTGGAATGGATATCACATTTGACTTTGCTCTTTCCATTTCTTCCCTATCCCTTTCGTTTCCTTCCTAATCCTTCTGTCCACTTCTCTTTAACCCCTCTTCTCATTCCTTCCAATCTGTTTTCCACAATTTATTTCTCAGACTCCTCTTGACTAACCTGCTCTTGAATCTGAGAACTCCCAGTGGACAACTCATCCACAAATTCTCCACCTTCCACATTCAGGCTTCAGTTGCATGGATATCACGGTTCTCTAACCTCCAGCTCTACTTTCTTTTTCTTTTTAAAAAAAAAATATATTTATTGGTACATTTTAGGTATAAAATACATTTACATTTATCATT